GCTTTCGCCCATTGTTGTCGTTGACGAGAAAGACGGCACCATCAGAATTTGTGTTGACCTCCGAGAGCCTAACAAGGCTATTGTACCAGACAGCTTCCCGTTGCCTCATACAGAGGAACTCCTTCATGCCTTGGTAGGCGTGACACACTTCTCAAAACCTGACTTGGCTTCTGCCTACCATCAGGGTCTTTTGCACCCTGACAGCAGGGACCTGACAGCCTTCATCACGCATGAAGGACTTTTTCGGTTCAAGAGAGTTTGCTTTGGTTTAGCTTCTACCCCAGCGGCATTTCAGAAGATGATGGCCACAATTCTGGATGGCTGCCCTGGTGTGTTGTTCTACATTGTTGACGTGATAGTCGTTGGGAAAAGTGCAGAAGAACATCTTTTGAACCTAACAAAGGTCTTGCAGAAAGTCAAGTACGCAGGCCTGAAATTGAACGACAAATGCCTCTTCGACGTTCCATAACTTTCTTTCCTAGGGCATAAGGTCACTGCACAAGGTATCTCGCCGCTTCCAGAGAAAGTAGACACGGTAGTTAACACTCCAGTGCCAACAGATGTTACTGCCCTCCGTTCATTCCTGGGTCTTGTAGAATACTATTCAAAGTTTGTTCCCCGCTTGGCCCAGGTGGTCGAGCCTATGTGCGTTCTGCTTCGCAAGAATGAGCCATTCATCTGGTCAGCCGAAGCAGACAGCAGTTTCCGGAGGGTCAAGGAAATGCTTTCTTCAAGTACAGTTCTCCACATGTTCGAACCATCACTTCCAGTCATCGTGTCGACCGACGCTTCTGACTGTGGGCTGGGAGCCGTTCTGCAGCAGCAAAATGGCCATGTGCTCCGCGCAGTGGCTTTCGCGTCTCGTACCTTGTCACCAGCGGAAAGAAAGTACTCGGTCGGTGAACGCGAAGCGTTGGCATGCATTTGGGCGTGCGAACGATGGAACACTTACCTTTGGGGTCGCCATTTCAAGAATCGAACGGACCATCAGGCGTTGGTATTGTTGCTGTCTTCGCAAGGACGTGGCAGAAGGCCACTTCGAATTGCACGCTGGAATGCGCGACTACTATGCTACAATTTCACTGTCGAGTACCGCAAGGGGTCCACCAACACGGTGGCAAATGCTCTTTCTCGGCTGCCAGCTCCTGCCGCGCAGGCACAGCTGGCCAAGGATGAAGAAATTGTGTCGTTGGTCGAGTCGGCTTGTGTGACGAAGGAAGAATTCAAGGAAGCCGTTCTCAACGATGGTTGTCTGCAAACGGTCAAGTCGTTCGTGCTCGGTTCTTAGCCACCACAAAAGTCCATACCAGAGGAGGCAAAAGCTTTCTACTCTGTGCGCGAAGAACTTTCTGTTGTTGATGACCTTCTGCTGCGCGCAGAACGCCTCGTTGTTCCATCCTCACTCACGGCTCAGTTCATCGCCGTTGCCCACGAGGCACATCCGGGCATCACGCGCACAAAGGCGCGACTTCCTGAGCTAATCTGGTGGCCACGGATGGACAAGCAAGCTGAATCGGCCGTGAAAACTGTCACATCTGCATGGAGGCAGAAAAGTCTGCCAAAACATCGCCAGCGCCATTGCAGCCTATTGATTGGCCTGAAAGGCCATGGCAGAAACTGGGCCTAGAAATTTTTGGCCCATTGGAACATGCACCTCACAATAGCCAATTTGCTATAACACTGGTCGATTACCATTCCAAATGGCCAGAGATATATCTCTGCAGCGAAGTGGCCACAAGCACCGTGAAAGACTTCTTAACCAGTGTTTTTGCCCGTGAAGGATACCGGGAAGAGATTGTTTGCGACAATGGGCCGCAGTTCACTTCACGTGAATTTGTAACCTTTCTTCAAAACCGAGCCATCAAGCTGTCTCATTCGTCTGTATATTACCCCCAGGCGAATGGGCAAGTCGAGAGGTTCAATCGAACTCTGAAGAACTTCATCCAGGTTTCAGTCCTCAAAAGGAGACCTATCCGAGAAGCAGTTACGGACTACCTCTCTATTTACCGCTGTACTCCACAGGCTACCACTGGAGTTGCCCCAGCAGTTCTGCTGCATGGGCGAATGCCCCGAACCAGATTGGATGTTGTGGGGTTTTCGGCACCAGCGTTTGCAAAAGACCCAGCAAAGGAACTGGCGCGACCGCGCCAAAGGGTCTGGCTTCAACAGCAAAGCAGTAAGGAGTACACGGACCGCAGGAGAGCTGCTAAGCAGCCAAAGATAGCTGTCGGTGATTTCGTTCGTATCAAGAAGCCGTCCGTTCGCTTCAAGGGGGATCGCTCCTTTTCGTCGCCCACTTAGGTGTTGGGGAGGAGGGGACCTGCCTTTTTCCGACTTGCAGACGGCCGCACAAGGAACGCCTCCAAGCTTTCCCGGGTTCCTAAGAGGGGCACGAGTCCACCATACCAACGTTCGGAGCTACCTGCGCCACAGCTTCCGGTTCAAGTGCCACAGCCTGTCCTGCCGCCGACGCCTTCTCCCGGGTCGCAGCCGCCGCCTCCTGGCGTACTGCAGTCTGCCGTACCGCAGTCGCCTGCTCCTGATCTGCAGCTCCCTGTACCGGAGCCTGCCATGCTGCAGCCGCCTTCTCCTGGGCCGCAATCGTGGTCTCCTGGCGTACTACAGAGCTCTACAAGCTCATTACCATCTCCGGCCGTGCAGCATCCCCATCGGCCGTCCCGAGAGCGCCGGCCACCGGTCTGGCTCAAGGACTATCAAACCCACTAGTTGCCTGTGTGTATAGCACAGTGTGTATGTAGTGTGATTATGTATGTGTATACAGCGTGTAAAATGTACAGTGCATGCATAGGGGTTCTTAATAACACTTACTAACAACTAATCACTACATATAAAGGAGGGAGTATGTTATATTCAGTTTTGGTTTTTACTTTGTGTTCTTTCACCCCCAGGGGGCGCGTCTGTCCTTTATGTATATATTCGATGTGTTGCGTACAATAAACGTCTTTTTGTACGGTGGTGCTGCCGGTGTTTCTTACGTCTTTCGCAAACTTCACAGTGTACTATTTTTTTTTTTTTACGGAAGTGGCTGGCAGCATGTTACCTACGCCTTTTTTACGTAATCAAGGGCAAATATTTTTTTTACAGTGTACTTCAAACTGCTAAAGTGTGCATCTTGTACAAAAAGGGAGATAAGAATAATTTAGCCTGGTGTTCTAGTGGCTAAGGTACTCGGCTGCTGACCCGCAGGTCGCGGGTTTAAATCCCGGCTGTGGTGGCTGCATTTCCGATGGAGGCGGAAATGTCGAGGCCCGTGTGCTCAGATTTGGGTGCACGTTAAAGAACCCCAGGTGGTCAAAATTTCCGGAGCCCTCCACTACGGTGTCTCTCATAATCATATGGTGGTTTTGGGACAAAACCCCACAAATCAATCAATCAAGACTAATTTAGCCAACTATAGACCCATCTCAATTTTGCCAGTATTTTCTGAAATATTATGCAGAATTCTTCATTCTCAGCTGGAAAAATCAATTAACAAACAAAATATAATATGTGATGCACAGTACGGCTTCAGGAAAAATCGATTGACTCAGCTTGATCTACTTGATCAGAAAGAGTTCATTTTGAATAACATAGAATGTAAACAAGTATTGGGTATCTTTATAGATTTTAGGATGGCCTTTGGCTCTCTGAATAGACTGTTACTTTTACGTAAGCTAGACTTAGACGGTGCACGAGGCGTTGCCTGAGACTTCTTTGACTCATACCTAAATGAAAGAAAACAATACGTGTGTAAACAAATTTGCTTCGACGACGACTAAACCGAACTATATCTCGGAGTACCTCAAGGCAGTCTTTTAGGTTCGTTTATGTTATATTTATACATAAATGACACTGTAAATATAAATCCTTCACCAAAATTTGTTATTTATGCTGAGGATACAAGCGTACACTTTGTGCACATGATGATACTGACCAGTTGATTGAAAGAGGAAATATTACATTTGAGAAGATATGTAAGTGGGCATGTTCCAATGGGCTATTAACAAACACAGAAAAAAAAACAAAGCGCTTATGTTTAGAGCAGAAGGCAAGCAGCTACAAGTAACTTCTCCGCTCTATCTCAATAACAGTCTGATTCAAATGGTGGATAATGTGAAAACATTAGGTGTTGTATTTTCTAACAACATGCTATGGGACACACAAGTAAAGCAAGTAGTGACAAAAACGGCACGTGTACTTGGTCTCGCCTTTCGCTTTAGAGGTACAAGCAATAATAATGACATATGGGGCTGTATGTCCCAATGACAGGCACACCTAAGTGGGTGGTGATGATATCGGGATGCCGCCGTATGCATTACAGCCGTTCCTTATTTTGTCTCTACATCAGCAGGCTCGATGGTTAGTAAATCGCATACATGAGCGTAATAATATGCAAAGACTGAAGTTTGTTTGGCAATCGTCAACTCTAGTTCTCCCTACAGGCTACCACAAACATGGCGCGCAAGCATAGTCACTGTAGATTGCCATAAAATATTCTCCCCTCTTTCTAGGGTATCTGTTATACTTGATTCAGGCGTCTTCTTAGCAACAGCCAGCCCGTGAATGAAAAATATTGCAGCAGAACTGGAGCGCAAGACACGCAGTTCCCGGTTCGAGCTGCCACTCTATTTGATCATTGCAGCAACTATAGGCGGCGCGACGGTAGGTCAAAATGGCGGACGAGACAGAGCTGATGTGCGCGTCTCAGGCAGCAAAGCTCGTCAGGCCATCTAGTTTCGCTGCAGGCCACACTCTCTCTAGCTAAAGAGACGCATAGATATTTGAATGAAAACTAATCAGCGCTTATGAATACCGTTAGACTGAACTGCAGACTCATCACCATGTACCAGGTTCAGATAAAAGCCGCGTGGCGCCGCCTGCGTCGCTGGAATGACCGGATATGCACGAGCGTCAAGTTGAAACAGAATCTCTGCTAACCTTTCCCGCATGTGGGAACAGTAACGCCGTGCTCACTACTTAAGCGGATGATTCGTGCTTACTTGAAGTCATGATGCGATGAAACTTCGCGCCCCAATAGCTCATGCGATCACGTCGCTTTGCATGCCTGTCATCGGGAGAGTCTGCCCCTTTCAACTCCGCAGTCAAGTTGTAGATGTATACAAAGTCTCGGTATCGGCACGCCCCGAGCAGCCAGGCTTGCCTCTTGGCGAACGGTGTGCACATTATAGTTTTCAGTGTGAACCGACTGCTGAGGAATACCGTGCGTGGGCTGTGCAAAAGGAAGAGATATGGACAAATCAAAACAGGAAACAAGTCCTAATAAGCACACTTTATATGCTAGATAAATCAAAACATGGAAACAGGCATACTGTAGGTCAGTAAAGGACAGTCAAACAAAATCTATACCGCTTGCAAGCCGCTACAGCATTTAACCACGCGTGCAACACTATACAGCTGGTTCTAGCTGTAATGCAAACAAAATGAAGTCCACAGTGCGTAGTACTTTTTTACGTTTTTTTTGTCTTCACTAATGTGATTTTATCACTGTAAAATAAGTAACAAAAATTAATTACGCGTTCTTCAATACTTATGTAAGAAAACTTCCGGATGAAAATTCTGCATTTGCAGGCGAAGTGTGTACAGCATACCCAGAATACTACCTTAAACTTTTTCTCAGGGCTTTAGCAAGCCAATACTAAGAAGCAAACGAACATGCCAAAAACGTAACTACAGAGCGGTTAGTCGTGTTTCGCAGCCCACAGCTAACACACTTCAGTTACTGCAAATACGTGGGCAATCCTAAAATATATGCTAGAGCATCATAAATCCAGAGCCACAGTGTAAACAACCTTACAAAGAATACCTGATTACTTCTTTGGTAAGGGGGAGGAGCTTATACGGGCAGTCAAGAAATATTATGTTCGCTATAATCGGATACCTGAATATACAATCACGTACTTTCGAATGCCAGAGTGCTAGATAGTCTCATAAAAAACTGAAGAGGTCTACCCAGCAACACCGGGCGCTTAGCGAAATCACCCCTTCCCCCTCCCCGAGAGTCAGACCAAAGTGCAAACGCAATGGTGACAAACTTTACTGACAGAGTATTTCAGGAAATAACCATTGATTTTTTTAAACGAGCGCTGTTTGACCAAAGATCACACCCCAGCAAAATTAGAACGGGCCCGCTTTACTGCAATACGCAAACGAGGAAAGAAAGTCACATTCGATTCACTGAAAACAAATTTCACCCACGTCCTGTATAAAAAAGATTTTAGCGAGTCCCACAAACAGGCCTATAAGGCTTCAGGGATAAAAGGGAAACATTGTCAAAGCATATAGGCTTCAGAAACGAATTTTCAACATTGGGCTTTTTTCCCCATTCTGAATAAGGAAGTGCTGACATTTACTCTCAAGAACCCTGAATACTTTATACTAGCCATTGATAAAAAGATATTTGCTAATATAACTCAAGAAGTTTTCCTCTCCGACTTCAGATGCGGATAGAGATAGAATGGTCTGCGATTTTTGAAATGTCAAACAAAGGCAGGGAGGGGAGGGAGTGGTTATGTTAAAGAAGGAAAAGAAAAGTGAGCCCCGTAACTGTCTGCTCCAGGGAGCGACACCTCAACAGTAGCTCACTAGGTATGGGGGTGAGGAGGAATTAAAATGATAGGAATAAAGGTGTAGAGAAAGAGAGAGAGAGAGATGAGGTAAGCGTGAAAGCGTGAGAGCGACGACATATCGAGAGGATAGGAGAGATAGGAAAGATGAGAACACGGTCACAGGAGTCCGAGGACGGGGCACCACTTGCGAGAGCTCTTGTCGGCGTCAGGAGATGGCGTAGAGCAAGTCCTGTAGGTCAGAGTTACACTGTCGTCGGAGGTCGGCGTCAGGAGATGACGTAGGGCGAGCCCAGTCGGCCAGAGCTACGCCGACGTCGCAGATCGCGAGGGCACAACCAGTCGGCACGGAATCCAGCGAGCGAGTCCTCAAACAAAGGCAGATTTTAGGTAACAATTAACTGACCAATATTTCTTTTACTATAGCAATGCAGAAAATTCGCTCGTTTACAGGATGCCCTCCCGAAATTAAAATGTGCTTGGTAGGTGGACAACAATACTGCATGGTCCACCAAGGCATCCTTGCCAAAAAGAAAAAAAATAAACGGTCCATGAGGCACCAATTGCTGCCGCTTCATTCACCAGCGCTAGCGCACTAAGATCCGAAGCCGAAAATCCGGAATATTATTATTACTATTACACGCGGTATCAATTGTCGAATATGGCAGAGGTGACGCTGCGGAGTATTACTTATATTGTGCGACAATCACACAACAATTACAAAACTTAGACGCCACTTGAGCTTCGCCTCCAAGAGCGGACCGCTATGGCATAATCGGGCCCTGTGCGAATGACCTTTTCAATTTTTAGCCTAGCTTCAGTGTCAGTGTACACGTCCACCATGGCTGAGAGAACGAACGACTGTACATGCAAGCTTGGCCGTTTCAAAAAGAATATATTACAAAAGCATTTGTCAGACGCCAACTGCGCCATAATTGTTGCTTTTGCAAATCAGCGAAGGGCCCTGAACAGGTGCGTAAACCAACACGCGAACATGTGTTTCAGCGACCGTTCGCACTCGTTCTGTCTATTTCTGGGAGTTCAGTTCGTGCGTCCGTATTCTTTCCGTTTGAGCAGCAAGCTTTAAGTGTCGAGTTGTGAAAGTTGGTTGTCAGCACTCTGCCTCTCTATGCTCATTTCGCGCGTTTTTCTTGAGGTCTTCCCTGCAAGTTTCAATCTGCTCGCCGTTCTTCACGTGCAATTTGCTGCTGTAGCATCCTTATGGTGAAACATTGGACAGTAAGCTCTCAACCGCCTTGGGTAGTACACGTTTCCCTTTCGTGTAATACGCCCCGCCGCAGTGGTCTAGTGGCTAAGGTACTCGGCTGCTGATCCGCTGGTCGCGGGTTCAAATCCCGGCTGCGGCGGCTGCATTTCCGATGGAGGCGGAAATGTTGTAGGCCCGTGTGCTCAGATTTGGGTGCACGTTAAAGAACCCCAGGTGGTCGAACTCTCCGGAGCCCTCCACTACGGCGTCTCTCATAATCATATGGTGGTTTTGGGACGTTAAACCCCACATATTAACTTTCGTGTAACACCGACTCCTAAAAAGGAACTCGCCAGGTTTCAAACGTTTCAGCTGTTCTTTTAACAATCTTCTCTGCCGTTAACATGTTTCCCGGTTGATTTTAGAATCCCCTGTCATTTTCATTTCATTCGTATATCGAGAACGTTCATGGGTTTAAAATTTTCGACTGCACGCTGGTACCTTTGGTTGGTTGTCTTTATTGAAAAACAGTTGTCACTTGGCTTTGCATTCCATCCTTTTATCATGTTATTTTTCTGTTGCTTCGAAAATTACCTTGAAAAAGGTCTTGCATTCGATGTAATAAATTAGCTGTCAGTTCAGTGCTGTGTCCGTGCATTCATTCTTACACGTCTTTTTTTTTTTTGCTGTTGTCAATCCATGTTAAACATTAACCAACTCACCCAAGCAACAGTTTTAGCAAGGTGCGTCAGAATATGAGGCATACCTCAATAGGCCCCGGAAGAGCAGTTTTGTGATAAACTGGAATTTTCAATGTGCTGCAGCATTAATAATATTATGCTACGCTTCGTAAATGTTTTCGCCCAGTATCAACAATCCGAAAAAAATATTTCAGTATCTGTATTGATGGTATGTATTCCGGGATACCTTTTCGTATTTTCTTGGCAGTATTTTCAAAATACCCCACAACGTGAAAGACAAATGTATATCAGTATCTGTATTTTAGGATTACAAAACATGGATTTCGATATCTGTATTCCAGAATTCTTTGCTGAGTATATTTACCCAGCTCTGATGCGCGCATCTTGCGGCACATTTTGCAGCATGGGGTTGTGAACCACAGTTTAGACACCAGGTTCTCGGAAGAAGCGCGAAATCATCTGCAAGCCGCTGAAAGAATAATTAATGGAATAAGGATTGTTGTGTTAGCGAGCCATTTATGGTTTTGTTTCAAAACAAAGTATCTTTTATCGAGGCAAGACGATAGTGCTCCTAGCCGGTTATATATTTCATTTGTTACTTTGTTGAGTAGTGGCGGAATCTTGCATCGATTGTTGAATCATTGCGGATGCTCATCATTATCGTTCATTGGTTATGCGCCTCTTCCTTCAGGTGTACACGATGATGAGCCACGCGCCACAAGAACTTGTAAAGCTGTGTGTGAAAATGCGTATGTTGCGACGGATGCTCTGAGTACTTATAACATTACGAGTTACCACCGAACCCAACAACAAGTTTTAAGATCACTAGACATTCATTTCGCCAATCAACTTTGGCCACAAAAATCTTAGCTCACCAGTGTCTCACGCACACGAAGCACGTGGTTCCTCACAATATTCACAATAGTGAGAAGAAAATAGATTCTCGTGAAATTCATCGTATTGTATACCCAAATGCCAAACTAATAAAGTAAACTCTTGAGCCATGTCAACAATTTCTATTTAGATAAAACTTGAAAACTGTAAACTGACCCGAAGTTTTGGGACCGATGCGGTCCCTTCTTAGAGGTGACTGTTCGGCCGGCTCCACTGCTCGCGATTTTGTGTGTGTGTGTGTTTGTGTCACCCTCTCCGTCGTCCTTCTTTCCGCCGTTATTGTTGCTGCGGTGTTTTTTTTCACTGGTTCTGTATACCCTGCATGTATATACTGGTGAACATTCCAGTGGAGCACTTGACATTTCCACATGTCGTGTGGATATGCCAGTACTCTAAAAACTGTCTTTTTGTGTGGCCACCCTCTGTGTCGATGACCCGGGCATCGTCGGAATTCCTAGCTGCAGAACCGGCAGCACAGTCACCCATGAAGAAGGGACCAAATTGATCCCAAAACGACCGGGAAATTTACAGTTGTTTTAATTTTGATGAAATTAGAAACATTGGACTCTAGGTTGGTTATTAAACCCCAGTTGTTCAAAATTTCCGGAACCCTCAACTACGACATCTCCGATATGGTAGTTTTGGGACGGTAAACCCAAAATATCCATCGATCTGGACTCTAGGTTAGCTGGGGAGGTTCTGTTATTAATATCAAAGTTCACCAAGCCAGACAGATATCTGTCGATGATGTTCACCTTTACAACGAAACTTAGATTAATTTAACAAAACTCGCCGTTTGCACACGTATATATGTGCTGTGTGGTGACAAACCAACAAC